AAAAAAAATTAGGTTAAATATTACTAAATTGAATATGTTTGTTAAATTCAGCCCACATAAATTGTTTGCAACCACTTACCTTAAAAAAAATAGTGGTCCCACTTTATATTAAGTGGCCTTAACTAATATGTACTTACACAGGATTTAATAGTTTGTTACAATGTACTTATTGTGTAAATACATGTATTTATTGTGTACTTATGCTTGATTAAATACCTGTATGTAATTACATCTGTAATTAACTTCTGTAATTACATTTTAAATATACTGTTGACCATCCCTTACACCTTAACCCACCCTTAAACCTACCCATACCACCAAACCTATTCATAACCCAAACCCTATCCCAACTCAAGAGCACCACAAGTGTTCTCAAATACATTAGGAACACAGTAAGTACATTGTATTTATTTTTTGATGCAAGTACATAGTAGTTAAGGACACTTAATATAAAGTGGGACCAAAATAGTAAATCCAATTAATCATTTTTCAGGGTTTGCAGAACGTGAAAAGTGATTTCTTTAGACACTATTGACCTTATTCTGCAATGCAGAAGTGTGCTTATTCTTCCGATTCAGTTGCCTATGGGAGAAATTACTAGAAATAATAAATGGTCAAACTACTCGCTCTACAAACAAGTGTGTTCATGACTGTACATAAGAAGTAGATTAATATAATAGAAAATATCAACATCAAGCAGCATAACAAGCTGTTTTTAACATCCAAAAAAATCAATGGAAGGCATTTAGACCAGAAGACTCGAGCCAAAAAGATTAGAAGAATAAGGTCAACATAGCACACCTACCATCAAATTCTGTCATAATTTGTGTTTCAGTTGCAGATAGATGTCAATAAAACAGATAATGTCACATGGCACTGCACAGTATTTACATCAGGCAAGTCATTCAGTGTCCACTGCTCATATAGTTCACTAGAGAAATGACATCTATAGAAGATCATTTCTGTAAATGTTTGCAGTATTTTAGCCAGTATATGTATTATATTTTGCTTAACCTGTTGATTGTTAAATTTACATATTCGAATAAATTAGTAAAATTTATGAAATCCACTGTTAATTGATTACACTTACAATTGGAACATATTTAATAATCCGCCTAAGATGCACGATTAAACTGATTTCAGATTGAACATCAATTATTTAATCTGTGTTGTTACACTCTCAAAACTGCTGTGTAATTGTAGCCTAACATTGGGTAAAATATTGACAACACCCAAACATTGGGTTCATTTTAATTGGGTAAATTTAAATGACATTTATATTCCAATAGTTGGGTTAGTCCAATTTGAGTTGGGCTAGTCCAAATTGAACAACATTGGCTAGATTGAACATTAATTGTTTAATCTGTGTTACACTTTCAAAAATACTGTTGTTGTAACCTAACATTGGATAAATTAACACCCAACACTAGGTTCATTTTAATTGGCTAAATTTAACTGACACTTAAAACCCCAATGGCTGGGTTAGTCCATTTTTGACACATCGTTGAGTCTAATTGAACAAGATTGAGTAGATTGAATATGAATTGTTTAATCTGTGTTGTCACACTCTCAAAAAATACTGTTGTTGTTGTTGTAACCTAACATTGAACAAAATATTGACAACACCCAACATGGAGTTCATTTAAATTGGGTAAATTGATTGTCACTTTATATCCCAACGATTGGGTTAGTCCATTTTAACTCATCATTGGGTCAAATAAAAAATGTTGTAACCTAAAATTGGGGAAAATATTGACAACATCCAACATTGGGTTCATTTTAATTGCGTAAATTTGACACTTTATATATCCCAATAGTTGTGTTGGACAATTTTGACCCATCGTTGGGCTACACCAACTTGTTTTAGTGTGTAAATAGAATTAAAATGTATTATGGCTCCTAGTATAATTTAAAGCATTAGCTGAGATACGTTTTTATCGTTTTAATAAAATTGTATTGACTGCATTTACAAACAGAGCTGTAATTTGTTATTAAGATATATGAAAAAGGGGTAAAGCTATTTTATTTGCAGAAAACCATTATTTTTGTAAACAATTACACCCCAAATAACCATATATCTACCATATGATCAACTGTTTGACTTTCCTACTCCATAGAAACCATAAAGAAAAATACTGTACATGCAAGTCAATGGCGTCCAGTGTTGTTGCACAACCATATGTCCTGGGAGGCATCTTATTCCAAGTTTCAAAAGAGAAAGATTAGACAAACAGCACTGAAACAACATGAGAGTGAGTGACTGACCGAATTGTACGTTTTGGGCAAACTATATGATGATTTATTTATTTTTTATGCATTTCAAACTTCTGATGGGACTTTCTTCCGCCGACTCATCCCGTCGCACTTTCAAAGAAACCCCGACCATTCCACACACCAACAGAAGAGCAGCCCAGAGTAATTACTGGGCCCCATATTTTGATGAATGGAGCAATTATGGCCAGCTAACAGCCCTGTGGGTTTTGTATGGGATCGAAGCACCCCACCCCTCTGCCCAGCTTCCCCGGAGCATCATTAACACCCCTACAAGTCCTATAAAGACTCCGAGGGGCCTTTTTTTAATCTTAGGTTCATTCAAAAGGTCTATTTATAGCATCAAGGCATTATGCACATTTATGTAAGCAAACAAGCACAAACGACAGTGCCGCCAAACGTTTGCTGGCACCTTCGTGCACTCAATGATGATAGCTGCAATTAACGAGCTTCCATTAAGCCTGTGTGGGACTGTTGGTGGTCAATCTGTGTATAAGAATCAGACATGACTGCCAATCCACATCATGGCCAGTGCTGGTCTAAACATAGGTCAGCCTTGTTATCTTTAGAAACACTGCTATATTGTTTTTGTGGGGGGGGGGACTGCCCTCATGCCATGAGATTGGGCCGCTTCAACCATCCGCTTCCGTACCCCATTCAGACAAAATGTTTTTTTCCTCTCTTTTTTTACAGCAGTGTCATGCTGATTTGTGGATCAGTGACATTGTTATAAATAAGTCATGAGGAACCAATTAAAAATGGAATGCACTTGTGGATCTTCCCATCCCAGACTTGAACCGACTGGGATGTAGAGTTTGTTAGGGGTGGCTCCAAAAGTGTATTCAATAAAAAAAAAGACCATTGTTTGGGCCATTTTTGTTTTTTAATCGTAAAAAAAACTGATCATTAGACTGATGGCACCATGCTAAATGCATATCATCCGGTCAGCAGATGCATATTTTTAGAGTCAGAGAGCTCAGCATTAGCGTTAATATGACCTGTATGACATTTCGAATGAATGATACTTAATGGAAAAAAAACATCACGTGAATGTTAACGCTACAGTTCACCCAAATCTAAAACTCTGTTCTCGTGTAGCTCCAAATCTGAAACACAAAGGGAGCTGTGGATCGCATTTCAGGTCCAAACAAAATCAAAACCAGTTGATTTTATTCATATTATCTTCTCATTCATCATGAGAGTGAGAAAATAAGGTAAACCATTTCTTTAAATGGATCATTTACCCCCCAACAATCGAATTCACAGACAATTTACTCATCAAAGTGGTTGTAAATGATTCTTTTTTTTTTACTGCTGAACAAAAACTAAGATCATTTGAACAATGTTGGAAACTATCTTTTATAGCAGTTTAAAAAAATGGCAGTTAATGGCTTTATGATTCCAACATTCTTCAGGATAACTTCTTTTGTGTTTAACAGACAAAAATCGCTGAGTAAATGATGACAGGTTTTACATTACTGGATAAACCTTTCCTTTAAGTAGATTTTGAAGTGAATATTTAACGTATGTCGGATGCTTATCGTGATAAAGTGTCTGTATTGATACTGAATCGCTGTCTCTACAGTTTCCCGTAGCTTGCCAGGATTAAAGATGTTTGAGTGGCTGTATTCAATAGCTGTTAATAGGGGCATCATTTCCTCATTTCATATCAGTAGCGCGGCGCCGAGAGCCTCCTGCTGCAGCGCGCAGTCAGAGTGTTAATACTCCACAGCTGCAGCGCATGTGTTCCCCTTAAGATGACTCTCCCTCCCTCCCTCAGACCTCCGCTAACACCTACCTGAGTGCTTTTTAAAAGCACTCCTTCCAAACAGTAGTCTGAGTGGAGCCATCTGAGGTGACATCCACTGTACATCATATACTGTATACTGTTGCTGTACGCAGCTTTAAAATGCAAACCCACAAATATCAAGCCTATAGGGCTAATTTTATTACTATTCGATCTAATAATAACTAGAAAAAGGTATCGTTCACACACAAAATAAATTACAATTCTGTCATCATTTACTCATCATCCGTTTCTTACAAACCTGTTTGAGTTTTTTCTATTAAACACAAAAAGAGATATTCTGAAGAATGTTGGAACCCTGCAGACATTGACTTCCATTGTTTGCTCCCCCCTACTTATTCTTCAGAATATTTTTTTTTAATTCAACAGATTAAAGAAACTGGAGATTTAAAAAAGATTTTAAAAAAAAAATTGATGCTGAGTTAATGGTGAGTAAATGTTAATTTTTAAATTAAAACTACTTGCTTATCCTCCAACCTATGGATTGTAACTGTATAATTACATTAAATAATAATTAAATAACTTTTCATTGTTTGTCTGTTTGCTCATAGTACATTTTTTATTTTGATCTAGATAATCTAAAACATTTAGGTATGGATGTGACTGTGACGAAATTATCATTAACCAAGATCATTGTTGGTTCATTATGAGACCGAAGCGATGTTCACAGTTTGTTACTAATAAATTTATGAAAAAATTATGATTATATACCTTTTAGTAATTCTATACATTCTACTTGTAACAAATGTATAAATACACTCTGTAATAGTGCATCCAAGCTTTAAAAGCAGTGCTTCATCAGCACACTTCAGCATTACTCCAGCGTCTCGCTCAACAGGTGAGCGTTCGTCACTTGGCACCACAAACAGCCTATTAATGTCAACACATTTCCTCATAAAAGTGCCACTAAAGATTGCCTCACCTGACTCCGCGAAGGTGATGATCTCGAAGGGCTGCTCTTCAGGCTGCTCTCTGTGCTCCCCTAGCCCCCCTCCGTCTTCCTCCATCTCCACTGTGCCGTCCTCGCCCACCCGTCCCACGTGCAGCTTGCGGATGGCGTTGAGCAGGGCGGCGCGGGGCACCGGGTGCGTGACGTTGGGCCGGGTGTTCAGATGCAGCATGTTGAGGATGTGCTGCTTGACCGCCTCCACCATGTCACTCTGCTCCTCAGAGTCCTTGGGCCTCTGGGCAAGAGCGCAGGACGGGCAGGGGGTCACGGGATCATCGGGCCGTCCCGCACCTGGAGAGCCACTATCAGATGGAGTAGGCGAGCAGCCCCCTGACAAACAGCCGGAGAGCAGCAGCAGCACCCCTGTCACGAGCGTGAGCGAGGACATCCTGAGTGACGGCAGACTCACACCTCAGTCCTGTTCTGCTCCTCTGCCAAGATCACAGTCGGCGCACTGGCTTGTTTGTCAGATCGATACGGAAAAAGCGGGAGCCAGTCCAAAATAATCCTTATCTGAACGGAGCGTTCATGGTGCTAAAAGTTGAAGGAAGCGCAGCTGGTCCTCTCTCTCCTCCTGCAGGTCGATGAGCTCCGGGTCGCGTCCGTGCAGCAGAGCTGTGGAGAAACCTGACGGTGCACGGCTGCCCGTGCCGGAGTTGAATGGTTGAGTGTAAAGTGGGCAGGGTTAGACAGTTCTCTGACTCTTTCTTTAGCACTCTCTCCCTCTCTGGCTTCTCACTGTTTGTCCCCTCTCTCTTTCTCTCTCTGTAATTATACCTTCCTCCTCTTCATCCCTCCCTCTCACTTTATTACAATCTTTCTCACTACTGACTCACTGACTTTTTCATCTCTCCCTCCCTCCCTCTCGCTCGCTCTCTCTTCAGTGACTCCTCCAGTAACGTGTACCATTTTTTTTTTCCTCCGGAGAATCTAAGTTGCTCTTACGCACCCTCTCTCTCTCTCTCTCCTTTTTTTCCACCGATCATTCATCTCTCCAGCCATCAATCCTTCGGCACCTGTTGTGCAGGCTGGAGAACCGTGTGGTGGAATAATCTCCTGGGGAGGAAAAAGTCGAGGGGTCAACGTGATTATCATGGCTATCTGTGTGCATAACACACATGTAAACACACTCATTCATGCTCGGTTAGGCGTGCACACAGCAGACGGATGCACTTTTATAAAGGAGAAGGAGAAGAGAGTGAAGTGAGGGGCTTCCTCCAGTTTAAATGAGCATTAAAAAGCATCAACTGCTATATTTCATAATCAATCATTCATTCATTCAGGACAGGCATTTCTAAGAGAGATTCGTCGATTTAAAATACACATTTTTAAAAACAGTATATTATTTATGCTGAAATAAAAGCTATATCTAGCTTTTCACATCATAGTGATGCATGGCAGTGACTTCACTTGACTCCCTCTTGTGGTTATAATGCGCACATTCCCCAACATTTCCAATGAGTTCAGAACGATTATCTCACAAGTTTAAAATCTGGACAGAACACTTCAAGTAAATAAAAGCCCCGTAGGTGATGCAGCTAAACACAGGAATGTTCCCGAGTGCAGAACAGACATACCTCAGCGCTCCTCCAGATGTTTGTGCAGTTCAGACCATGCACCTCCAGAGACCAACGTGGGCTGATATTCGGCCACGACGCGTGTATGTCAGACAGATGCATGCTGGTCCATACATGCTGGAGCGCATCTCACCTTTCATTCCTTGGCTCCTGGGAACATGGAATACTCACAGAGTCACTCTAGCCTTCCTGAACTCTGTCCTTCCTGAACTCCAGCTTTAGAATCTTTCATCATGCCTGTACGTAACAATTTAAGAATTTAAGGCTATAATGGTTATATATAAATGCTTTTTAACTACATACATTTTAAATATGCAAAAGTGTGAGGTCTGTAAAAGTTCTATACTGTTTTAAAAAAGCCAAACCTGCATTTATTTGATCAAAACGCATACAAACTGTAAAGTTGTGTAATATAACAATTGAAAACAAACTGTTTTAAATTATGATTTATTCCCCTGATGGGAAATCTTAATATTAAGCAGGTATTTCTTCAATCTTCAGTGTCATATGATCCTTCAGAAATCATTCTAACCTTTTAATTTCCACTCTAAGAAAAACACATTTTTGACTCTTTTCTTTGGTTGAAAGAGCAAAGAACATCACTTTTAACCTATTATGAACAAATGGTCAACCAATGTGGTTTCAATGCTAGGTAAAGAGCTAATATGCAGATTTGGAGCTCAAGAAATACTCCAATGATATTTAGCTGCACCATGTTGGTGTTTCGTAATATAATTTTTTTATTAGGTGGGTCGTTAACCCAATGCTCAACCCCCAGCATAGAGGACCAGGACATAAATAAATACACTACGGGCAATTTAGCTTACCCAATTCACCTATAGCGCATGTCTTCAGACTTGTGGGGAAAACTGGAGCACCCGGAGAAAACCCACGCCAACACGGGGAGAACATTTAAACTTTACACAGAATGCGTGGTCCAGCCAGGGATTGAACCAGCGACGTTCTTGCTGTGAGGAGACAGCGCTATTTTTATGGGATCATGATACTTTTTTCTGAATTTTATGGATGAACAGAATATGTTGAATGAATACTTACTACATTAAATAGTAATTATTATGAATTTCCTTACTGTCACATTTGGTCAAAAAAGTTTTGATGTTTAAAATAAGATGTACATGTCATGACTAATCCTCTCAAGATGTTGTCTTATTTTTAAAAGGATATTGTGGACAAATATTTATTTTTGAATTCATCATAAAATGACTCAATCAAATGATGATTAACAGCTTAAAGTGACAGTTCTCCCAAAAATTAAATAAATATAAATATAAAAGTCATCATTGACTCACCTTCATGTAGTTCCTGCATGACTGAATGACATTTTGTTTTCTGTGGAACATAAAAAAGACATTTTGACTTTTGTGTTAATACAATTATAATGTAATAGTTCATCCAAAACTGAAAAAAAAAAACTGCAGTTTTTTTTTTACTTACCTTTTAGGATGCAGTTGAACAGTGCTTCTCAATCATGTTCCTGGAGGTCCACCAACACTACATGCTTTGGATGCCTCTTTTGACTGTCACACTTATTACAGGTCTTTCAGTCGGTGCTAATGAGCTGATTATCTGAATCAGGAGTGTTTGAATAAGGAGACAGTAGATGCGTCCCAAATTGCATACTTATGTACTATTCTACGCCATTTTATAGTATAAATAGTGTAAGTAGTGGGTTCTTAAAGTGCACTTTAGATACTGGGATGATGCACTTATTCAGCCGTTAAAAATAAAAGTGAAATGTTGGACACTTCACGCACTCTACGGCCACTGCTTTGCTCAAGTAGTGGAAGGGGCGGAGCTATCGGGCGCACATGTTAGATAACTATATTTATTTTGGATTGTGAAATCAAAACTCCCGATGGTGAATGCGGTTATACTCATGGCAGGTACGATTAGGTAGTTTGGTCATTTATTTCACTAATATGGCAACCATCAAACGTCATCTGGGAAATGGTTTGAATGTTCCAAAAAAACATTAGTGTTCCATTTGGGGCTACAATACATACATATACAATGCTGTTAAGTGTGTAAGTGCATAGAGTATAGTGTGCCATTTGGGACGCAGATATGGAAAATGTGCAGAGCTGGTTGTCCTCCAGGAACGTGGTTGAGAAACACTGCAGCTGAACCTGAACAAATACTATTGAAACCATGGTGATTCATATAATATATGCCAGCCGGTGTTTGGAAAGAAAAAATAATAATAAATATGCCTGTGACATTTTAACAATACTTTCTTCTGAAACCACATGATTAGGCTAGAAACCAAACATTATTTAATAGTGAAGTCAGTAAATATTATGGCAAATATGGAAGTCATTTTTTAAAGTTCATTCTGCTTTAAATAACTGAATCACCTGCATGTTTTTACACCATATAACTATATTATGTTATTAAAGCACATACTCATAAAAAAGTCTGAAAGACTGTTATAAAGTCAATAAACTACAAGCTTGGTTTATACATAGACTATTAGAAACCATACAAATATTAATTAATCAATTCATCCCCTTGAATCAAGTGCTTCATTCATATCAGTTCTACAGTCTGAGTCCTTTAATCTCTGTTGGATTAACTGTAGCGATGATCGAGGCAAAAATAGGAATCATAGAATAACATATGCCAGTGTATTGGTTTATTTAGAGCAGTGTTTCTCAACCACGTTCCTAAAGGACCACCAGCTCTGCACAATTTCTACGTCTTCTTAACCAAACACACCTGATTCAGATCATCCACTCATTAGCAGAGAGCGAAAGACCTGTACTGAGTATGACAGCCAAAGGAGAAATCCAAAACATGCAGTGTTGGTGGTCCTACAGGAACGTGGTTGAGAAACACTGCTTTAGAGACTAGTCATTGTAAGTTGAAGATCTGTGTTGGTTCATCGGTTCATTCAATTATGTGAACTTGTTCATCCAAAAATGAAAAGGCTTAAAATCCTGATTAGTTTGAACAAACGTTACTCCTAATTATTGAAGTTATGGATTAGAGCTAATGATATTGTTCATAAGGTTGAGTTTCTTGCATAAACCTTCATTCCCCTTCATAAGACCTAAATGTATCGTCTAGAGCCAAGGTAAACAGTTTGGTTTGGCCTGCATGTATAATATTTTGACCAACTCACTCTCAAAGTGGCAGTAGCCATTGACTTGCATTTCATTAATTACCAAGTACCATGTTTTTTGTTTTGTTTTTTGAGAGAGAGAGAGAGAGAGAGAGAGAGAGAGAGAGGCACACAATTGTGAGACCTATCCCTTTGGCTGAGTTCTTTGTATTTACTGGTGACAATATCTTTATAATTAAACAGATTTGCTTCTAGAATCAAATGTAAAAGCATAAAAAACTCACAAAGTTTCTTGCTGATGTGCTCGTGGGCTCACCATACGGGCAATCCTGCATCCTCCCACTGGCATCGCTGCATTTATTCCTGGACTTGTTATCACTTAGAAAAGAACACAACACTCCAGTAGATGATTCTCAACTCTTAAAAATGCGTATTCTTAGCATTGCCACATGTTCGCCTGGGCAGCATGTGTAAGCCTGTGTGGTGAGTTTGCTATTTCTGAAAGGTGCCCATAAGGTGGTGTCATCACACATCCTACTGCCTGCCTCTCTCTATAGATGACACACAGAGGGACTCTGGGAATGAGTAAGACAGGCTTCATCATCTGCGCATTCTCACGTGTTTTCAATTCCTGACGAAGAGAAAACCTATTTTACAAATGCACATCTCATTTTTTCAATAACTTTAAACAGAGTAAGTGTTGTGGTTAGTGCATTACAGGTAGCTTAAGTTACATACTCGGATTACTTTATTCAAGTAACTAAGAAAAGTAATGAATTGCTTTTTCATTTCTAAGACCAATTCTCAGTTCCTTTGTTTTGCCATTTATTGACTGTTAGATATACTGACAGTCAGAATTGATATTGAAATCTCTATTGAAATAGAACGTTCAGATGTGTTATGCATGTTGTGTAAATGCAATACCCACTGTAGAGTTCTAGCTTAAAAGGTCACAAAACACCAAAACTCATTTTTTGAGCTGTTGACATTCATATCTGTGTTCCACACTGCTATAAACACTATTAGGACACATATATTTCACAAAAAAAGTGAAAATTGGTTGTTTTTGCGTCATTTCCAGCAAATTCGTTCTTCCG